AGCAAGAGACATAGGCACACACAGATTCCAAGAGATATAGAGGAAACGGACAAATAGAGTTGGAAGAAAGCAAGCAAACAATTTGGGGTTGGAAAGTTGTCACTCTCCTTTTTAATCGACTCTTCCCCTTTGAATCCCTTTTCCTCTTCCACAATCAAATGGCCGACACTTTTAAACTTTTCGAAATTTCTTACAGAGACCGATTCCTTTTTTTTTAATAATTAAATTTCCACAAATCTGTCCATGTATTTTTAAAACAATTTTCAACCAGTCATTATAAAGAAAAACAACCGAACGTATATATATTTTTGTTTCCGAAATCAAACTACCAATACATTTAATCATGTAAAATATAACAATCAATGAAAAAAACTTCTAACTGCACATACATCGGCTCCTTAGAAACATTCATTCTAATTTACACATGATAGAAGAAATAACTTGTTCGAAATTAGACGCTGGCGACAAAATAAAGCAACAAAAAGATTGTAAATAAAAAGTTTATTTGGGACCTAAATATGTGGAAGGCCAACATTGCTTTTAGCGATGTTGATGCTAAAAAAATTGTTGCCATAAATATGAGCGACTGTAGGTCCATATATAAATTGCTGAATTTTTCTTCTAACAAAATTAGCAGCATCATCGATCTCTTTGAAATAAAAATATCTCAAAATGACTAAAATAACTTAATATGTTGACTTGAATTAATGCAATGAGAACTCTTCATTAATTTTAAAATTCATAAAATTATGTATTTTCTGTGAATTAATTCATATTTGAATGATACACGTTTAGAGATACTTCGGCTTCATTTTTTAGGATCATGATATTGAATGCTAAAGGAAAAAAAAACAATTAAATGATATTTTCTAGGCTCTCGAAATAAAGTATCCAGATACGTGGTGTTAACTTAAAAAATACTTTGCAAAATGGTAGTACAACTGTAGTTTTGGAAAATTGGTTTCTCAGTTGAACTATATAAAATGTTATACAATAGAACTTTTAACACTCCCTACTCTCCAATGTGATTATAAGAATTTTAAAGTTTAAATAAAACGAAATGAATTGGTGCGACCCACTAGAATCACCCACTTCGTTTCTATATGTATAACTTTCTTTTAGCTAACCTTTTTTGGTTTGCTTTGCTTCTTTGGTTATGGACCCTTTGTAAACTTGGATGCTTCAAATACACTTAAATGCTTTGCTCACTCTCATGTCTGTTGCGTAATATATTTATACATTGTTCTAATATGAATGGATTTTCTTATGTGCATATGTCTCTATATATATGATAAACCTATCATAGAATCGTGCTGTAAATTATTCCTTGACTTTTCTACCCATTTACGCTATAAATGTTATCTGATACGTGACATTTAAAATTTCTAGTTCAAAGCTCTTTGCCTGACTAACAAATTTATTGGATATAACACAATCCTATACATATCATATATATACATAGACATGTTTTAAACGACCATAACCCATGCCATGAAGATGTGGGAAGTGGGAACTATCTAGACAAACACGAGTAAATATATTGCAAATTTTCATTTTTCCAATTATAGTTTTATTTTTTATTCATATATTTTAAATTTTCTGTTCAAGTTTTAAATCAAAGTCAAGACTTCGTATAGACAAGATTTGTGTGGACACAGAACTCAGGGGTCAAATCCATCAATTACGTTCAGAAACGTAATTATATCGATACGACTCTTATTTGTACGATCATCGTTGGTGGTTTTACATTTAGGACTTCATAACGTTTTCTTATAATCGAAGATAAAACTGAAGCAAAATATCTCTGAGACATGCTACGTACAAGGTTAGAAGTCTAAACCAATTCAGATGACAGTGATGAACTGAACGTCCAATGTAAACAACTTCAACAAATATGGCAATACCACAACTCACATACTTTATAATATATTTTAAGTCGCTATATGAAATATTTAAAATTGACTATGAGAAAATGATTCTTTTATTATCGATTACATTTTAGCATCTAACAATCCGGATAAAGTTATAATAGAATATTGATAATTGAGTACTCGAAGGAGATAGTAAAATTGGTTTAGAGGAGGGTCAAAAATTACAAGAATTTATACGGAAGAAGCAAGCATGTGACAGAATCTGAAACCCTAGAGGAAGTCAGAGTATATAAAAGTTGACGATAAAATGATGAGAGAGATCAAGCTTGTGAAATGGGCCATTATGCATTAATTAGTGTAAGAATCTTTATGGGATCATGTGCATTTCCTTAATCTAATCTTTTGCAGCTCTGCTGGATATTTATTCCTCATTAATTTTAATAATCTCTTATAAAAATATAATTTAGTTATTTGTTTGGCATTTTTGGTGACAGTGTATCAGATGCCAACATGCATTTTTCAAATCTTTTTTATACAATATAGTGTGGCTACAACCAAACAAAGAATCACCCGTAAAGAAGAGCTGGCTATGTGGCCATGTGCTTGCTGCTTCAATTCCCTTATTAATTACTCACTTCCAATGGAAAAATGGCTCAGAAGAATATCAACTAAAAGTAGATAAGATCACGATATATTGTTTCTCTATAAGCTTTAGACAACATTCAGCCTGTTACTCGGGTTTATCGTTTCGTTTTTGCACTCTTATTATTTTTTTCGCAAACTATATATGTCATATATGATGAAATGTTGAGGTATATAAAACTTTCAAAGAATTAAAATCGGGTGTTGTATATATTTGTATATATAAACATGCCCTTAGGGAAAAGCTAATTTAATTTTAATTTGGTCGATACGTACACTATAATGGGAAGTGTAAAATTATGGGCATAAAATGTAGCTACTATATTACAACATTAAACATTGTATAGATGTTTGAAATATCTATACGTACGTTGCAAAAATTACGATCAAGATGAAATGTTATTCTTTTCTTTTTAAAATTAGAGAAAATAAAATATAGTGATGAAAGGAAAAAGGAGAGATGGGATGCATGTGACTGGCAATGACATGAAGGATAGTGGTTCGATGTTTTGCACTTTGTTTAACTGTTAGCAAACGATCTTTCGTTGCCATTTCACGTTGCCACATATATTTATACTTTTCAATATTTTTCATTAATTTTGTCAACGGTCGAATTACGGTATATATTTGTACACACTTACATATATAACACCAAAACTCAAGTTGGACTTTGGGACCGATTTTCGTGAGGGATCTTCTTATTGAGTGAAGAATATATAGAAAACATAAATTCTTTGCCAAAAACAAGGTCGAGACTAATGCTTAGATTGGTGGAGATATGCATATATATATATATATGGGTCTTGACATGTATATATAAATTTGCTTGATGTGACAAGTAACTCTAGTAGCTAACATTTGAACACTCAATCCGGCTTGATTGGCTCGAATCAAAGAGTACCAAGTTGTTAATTATTTTATATATCTATATTATAATCTGAACGCTTCCAAGGTTTGATTCCTTTCAAATGACTTAGACCATAAACACTGGAATTCCAGAATCCAATTGCAGGAAAACATAAAATCCGGAATATTAGTTTTTGTTCTGAGCAAGACTACCTAGTTACCGATTGAAAGACTGGTGTTGTATATAACTTTATTTATAAAAATCTGGATGAATATGCATGATGAAAAATAGTCATTAAACTACCTATCATGGTCTACTCAAACTCTCAAACATATAATATACATAATACGTAGATATATAAACATAAAGGATAATCACCAATGGTTAAACGTTAATGCCAAACGCAAATGCTAAATAAATATCTTCATTGGTGGTTATCCTTTATGTTTACAACCATCAATAAAAAAAATTAAATACTAATTTTTTGTGGGTTCATGTTTAAAAAAATTAGGAAAATAAATAAACAATTTGAGTTAAAAAACGGAACACTTTCTTCTGTACGACGTTGTGATGGGCTTTTTAAATGTAACTATGTAAGGCACTGTTGGGTCTAGCAATTCAAAAGCCCTATAGCATATATAGGTATGCGATACCTTTCATTTATTTTCAAGAAAGAGAACACGAGTCTAATGCGTTTGCATAAATTGAGTCCAAAAAGGAAGAAAAGTCAATGATCAAAAGATGTTTGGACTCGGAAGATGCAATTTTAGCATTAAAAAGTTGGAAGTTTTGCTTGGAGAAAAAGGAATAATTCGTCTTTTTGGAGATGGTAATATTTTTGTTTTTGGCTTAACATTGGAGATGGTAATTGACTTCAACCCACCTCGAATTTCAATGACTATGTTCTCTTTTTAAAACTTATCGCAATTAAATTCTTCCACAATTCCTAAATTTAATAATCACGCATTCCACAAATTTGTGCTGATTCATCATTGATTGACTAAACGATTAATGATTTTACACTGGTCTTCATGAGTCAAAACAAAATCAAAATTTAGATGTAGTATTATTTTTATTTTCATAAAAAGATCTTCAAAAGGAAAATTAACAGATTTCGTTTAGCAAAAAACCCTGAAAACTTAAATTGAAGGGTTTAATTTTTTCCCGATAAATGCTAGTAATAATCTTGAACCAGTCATAATGTAAAAATGCTTTTAGATTTTGTTTTTTTTTGAATTTTAAGAAATTTTGTGCCGAAGCCCATAATTTTCTTGAGCCACAGCAATTTAAATCTCCTCCCACTAAAATTCGAACTAAAATCGCTTAATCATTAGCCCACTGCCACCAATGGAATATAAATGCATTAGTTGTGATCCATATACTTTTTGGTATATATCTTCCCTACCAAAAAATAATGAAGTTTTGGACAGAAACTATTGGGAAATACTTAATTCGCTAGAAAATTTCTGTCCAAAAATTATGATTATTAGATAGCTTTGGGAAGAGGAAAAGGCAAAATTAGAAAATACAGCAGACCAAACTAGTGCACACGTCTTTGGTGTTGACCAACGAGAACGACAACGACAGACAAAGATTTTTCATCATACAAATCCTTTTTCTTGTCATTATCTTTGATTTTTATTATATCCTCTGTTTCTTCTTCCCATTTTTCTCTGTTTTTTCCCCTTCTTTTCTACTTCAGCGATCCATAAAGATTCAACTCTTATTGCTTAATCCGACAAGAAACCTCGATTTCAATTTCCGTGATCTCTCTAATGGGTAATTGTTTGGATTCTCCTGCACGAGTAGATAACAGAGAAAGCTCTTTTGGAGGTATGAAACAAAACCTTCACTTCTTCTTCTTTTCCTTCCTTCTCTCTCTGGATTTTTTGAGTAAATTAAATTAAATTATTATGTGTATTTGATCCTAGGATTCAAATGATATTATCTAGATGGTTTGCTAGCTTAAACTGACATGAAATGAATACTCTGTTCTTGTTATAAAAAAATGAAAACAAAACTCTGTTCTTTTCTTTAAGTACCTTTATTCATTAAAAGCTTCTATCAAACTTTTCATTTAATTCCCAACTAAAGTTTCATCTAATTGATGATAATTTATGGTGCTGTCAAATTTAACAACAGAGTCATCGAGAATGACCACTAAACCGAGTAAACCATCTCGCCTTTCAAGCCTTGCAATACCATCTTACAGCAACAGAAGCTTCACTAGTTCATGGTCAGAACAGACACCAAGAAGTGAAGGAGAGCTCTTACCTTCTCCAACACTAAAGGCCTTTACATTCAACGAGCTCAAAATCGCTACTAGAAACTTCAAACCCAACAGTCTTATCGGAGAAGGAGGTTTTGGTTATGTCTATAAAGGTTGGATAGGTGAACAGTCGCTATCACCTTCGAAGCCAGGGTCTGGTATGGTTGTTGCAGTCAAGAAACTTAAACTAGAAGGGTTTCAAGGGCACAAAGAGTGGTTGGTAAGTTCACCATCCTTAATGTATAAACTAGAAAAAAGATCGAAGCCTCTAAGTTCATAGGCCTCAACTCAAAATCAATCGACAATGAGTGTACTTTAGGTCCTTTTTATGTCAGATGTGGGATGTCTAACACAAATAAAGTATATTAAAAATGTTGGTGGGTTTCAGACTGAGGTTCACTATCTTGGAAGGCTTCATCATATGAATCTTGTGAAGCTAATTGGATATTGCTTAGAGGGAGAGAAGCGGCTTTTGGTTTACGAGTACATGCCCAAAGGAAGCCTCGAGAATCATCTGTTTAGAAGTGAGTATCTCCATTTGAAAGGAGCTAGATCTAGTTACATAACTTACATTCCAAGTTATAATAATATTTAAAATATGATTTTTTCTTTCTTGTGTATGTAGGAGGCGCAGATCCAATTCCGTGGAAGACAAGGATGAAAGTTGCAATAAGTGCAGCTAGAGGACTTGCTTTCCTCCACGAAGCTAAAGTCATATACCGAGACTTCAAGGCTTCTAATATTCTACTTGATTCGGTACACCACCTATTAAATCTAGACTAATTAAACCAAATTTTCTTACCGCCTAAAATGACGTTTACAACTAGCCAAGATAGAAATTATTTAAAATTGTTCTAGGAAATATTTGTAAGATATGGTTATCCAATTATTGAAATTAACTTGTAAATGTAGGAGTTCAATGCAAAGCTATCTGATTTCGGATTGGCAAAGGCAGGACCAACAGGAGATAGAACCCATGTGACAACTCAAGTGATGGGCACTCAAGGCTACGCAGCTCCTGAATACATAGCAACGGGCAGGTTAACCGCAAAGAGCGATGTCTATAGCTTTGGAGTGGTGCTGCTCGAAATACTTTCGGGACGTCCCACGGTAGACAAATCGAAACTAGGAGTGGAACAGAATCTGGTGGATTGGGCAATACCTTATTTGGTGGACAGAAGAAAAGTGTTTAGAATAATGGACACAAAGCTTGGAGGGCAGTACCCTCACAAAGGGGCTTGCGCAGCAGCCAACATTGCATTGCGGTGTCTAAATACTGAAGCTAAGCTGAGACCGGATATGTCTGATGTATTGTCTACTTTACAACAGCTTGAGACTTTGACAAAGAAGGGCGCTACTCCAAACGCAATCATGTCTCCTTCATCTATGTTGGAGACTCGGAGAATTGCATGAGATCTCTGTGTTTTATGTGAAAGAAATTTAGCGATCCTTTTTGAGTCTGTTATATATACTTTTGCGAGATCATAGGTCAGGTTGAAAAAGTAGACACATATATATATAGTGTATATATATATTTATGGAAAATTTTATAATAGGATTTATATGATCGATGAACATTTATAAAATAGACGAGTTTACAATATGTCAATATACAGCAAAGCTATGCTTTAACGGTAAAGTATCAAATATTGAGTTTTCTGTTTTACAAGAGGAAATATATAATAAGAGATCAATTATAATGACCGAGGGGTGTGGTCTATTTGAATAAGTTTAAATAGATTGATTTGGCTATCTATGTTACTAAAGTGTATTTATTTTTTTGGTTAGTGAGCCTGAGAGAACTCCAGAATTAAACGTGTTTGAGCTAGAACAGGACTAATATGAATGATCTTTCGGAAAGTGATTTTTGAAATCATGTGAATGAGACTAAAACACGGAAGAATATCATATAATAATTGCAGGATCAGTAAATAAATCGATTGAGCTATAAAAAAGATAAAATACCAACCATCGGATAGGAGTGGGCCCCACAGGCCCAAGAGAAGACGTGAATATGCTCACGTGTCAGAGAGCATTACATCAATAAACCCATAGAATTAGTGATTTAGCAATATTTTTAATCGAGTAGCTTTTAAATCAAATCAGTTTGAATGTGCGTCAATAAAACTTGAATGTTTTGTTTTTATATAATTACAAAAAATATAGTTAATTTTTTTTATAAATTCAACTCACACTGATAAAGTCACACACTATACGTTTGATCCTTATTTTTCGTAGACATAATTATTTTTATAAAAAATTAAAATTTAAGATTAATTTATTATTTAGTAATATTTAAATAAAAATTTAAAATTGATTTATTTTGAGTAACATTAGAATACTATTAAACATACGTTCAATCTAGTATGTCCTGATTTAAAAAAAAGTTATGGTTGCCCCCAAAAAATATAATACATCTAAAAAAGTTTTTCTAGATCGATATGTCCAAAGATACTGATTTTTCCTCGAATGGACAAATTTTATCGTATTCCTTATTCCTTACACAATTCAAAATGTGTCCAATATAGTTTCTTTCTAATTTCAGGCATAATTTAAGAATTGCTATTATGTTCATACAATATTCACTTCATCTTTGGACATGGATTTCCTATAATTCATTAGATATGATAAATTAAAACAAAACATCTTTGAATCTAGCGCGTGGTGTGTATCTATCGCCCAATAATAAATACGTCATGCAGACTCAAGATTGTTTATATCAAAACTTAGTGTATATAACGAACATATATATATAATGTTAGAAATAAAGTGAGTATAAAGATAATATTTTACACACATGGCTTGACATCACCAAATGGCATCCGGAGTTCCCCCAAACACTTCAGTGAACTTAACTGTTAGCTAAAACAATATTTCAATGAAGTGTTCGGGAGAACTCTAGAGAACATATAGTTGAAATATTATCTTGCTGTTTTGTAGTACATAGTTACCATCGTAACACCGTCCATGGAGATATATTGTTATTTTTTGGGTGTATTTTGTATGTTTATAAGAGGAGAAGATACATGTATAAGATGTTAGATCTTTTAGGGTTTGAGGAAGATAGGAGGAGTTGCCTTTTTATTTATGATGAAAAGTAAAGAATCTCATGTACTTTAGTGTGAAGGGAGAGCGTTTGTGAACCTGGACATAAACTTGGTGGGATCAAGAGTTTGGACAAGAATCAGTATTTCTTTCCTTCTGTCTTTTCGCGATATCAAAGTATGATTCTAAAAATTATAGGTACATTCATGGTTAGAATGGTCGAATCTAACACGCGTGCTTTTATTTTCAGTGATAGTTGAACTAAGGGTTAGGGGAATAATGAGAAAAAATGCTACTGTAGTATTCAGTTTTTTGTACACCTATGAAATGGTCTAGACTAATTTCTAGAGAATATGCAGCTCATAAATAAACTCTTTTGAGTATTCAAATGGGCCGAAAACAATGTTCTATATTTATAAAGCCAAGTAGAAATAGTTAATAATTCTATGCTTTAGAATCAAGACAACTCCTCTTCAAGTTAGTATTCAGTTTCAATGTCTTTTTATAAGGTCTAAAATACGGTCTAGATTCATCCTCGGTAATCTAAAACTTTTGCACACGTTTTTTGTTATAAATTAAATTTTTGATGGTCCTTGCGTTAAATTCCACGGAAAAAAGAAGAAGTAAATATGGTGGCTGTCGAATATAGATATTCTCTCCGTTTCAAAATAAATGTTATTTTAAAGTTTTATTTTTGTTTCATAAAAAGCGTCACTTTACATTTTTAATACATAATTTTAAATAAATATTCAGTTTTAATTTTTGAATTTTATTGTTTTAATTAGAAAGAAAATGCTATTTTGTGTGTAAACAAGAAGTAAAATATAACTTTTAATTATTTTTTTAATTTGTGCAAATAGTGTCAAAGTGACACTTATTTTGAAACAGATGGAATAAGTAATTAGAAAAGCAAGAGTGGCATGTAGCATCACTCTTCAAATGTATAACGCAAAATAATAGTCATGGCTAGAATCCGCCCGCCCATGAACTCGAGACGTCCAACCATGCCATTGTGTTACGTACGTAGTGTTCAAGCGCCGTCTATAAGGACTCCCTAGATTGCATTTTAATACATTGAAGAGTTATAAACACCTAAGCAAATGTTTTTTTTTTTTTTTGACATAACGCTGATAAGTAATTAGAAGTAATACTTTAAGCAAGAGAATGATTATATATGGTCCTTATAAGGATGAAGCTGAATTGTGCTAAACGAATCAAACTGGAAATACATTAGAACATAATGGAAACTAGAGTTATTAAGAGGAGGAAGAAAAGAAGACTAGTAATTTAGATATTCCGGAAATTCTGCCCCAATAATTTTAAACCCATTTAATTACAAAAATTTAGAAATCTAGCAACAAAGTCAACATTCTACTCAGGTGGGAATGTTTAAAGTGGGATCGAGCTATACACTTGTTCAGTCCGATATATGGAGTGAATGAGTAGTTAAACTTTTAGAAATCTAGAAATCGAGCTATAAGCAAGAGAATGTTTAAATAGTTTGGGTAGAATGAGTTAATTTTTTTTTTTGGACTTTGGCTCATTTTATTTTTCTTATCTAGCATGTTGTGGCCTAACGCCTCATGGGCCATGTGATATCGTGATGTAAATCATGTTCCGAGATAGGAATCTAGAGACTAGAATAATGGACACAAAGCTTGGAGGGCAGTACCCTCGCAAAGGGGGTTGCGCAGTAGCCAACGTCGCATTGCGGTGTCTAAACACTGAAGCTAAGCTAGGACCGGATGTCTGATGTCTTTTTTAATTTACAAAAGCTTGAGACTTTGACAGAAATGGGCTCTACTCCAAACGCAATCTTGTCTCCTTCATCTCTGTCAGAAACTCGGAGAATCGCATGAGATCTCTGTGTTTTAGGTGAGAAAGAGATTTAGCGATCCTTTTTGAGTCTGTTATATATACTTTGCAAAGTGTGTTGAATAGCTAGGTCTGTGGTTTCTCTCGAGATCATAGGTATTCAGGTTGAAAATGTAGACGTGTATATATATATATATAAGGAAAATTTTATAATTGGATTTATATATATGATCGATGAACATTTATAAATTACATGAGTTTACAATATATACAGCAGAGCTCACTACAAAAAATCATGTGTGTTGTATCATTTATTTTATTTGTTAATATCATTTTTTGATTGATGCAAATTCAGTTGCATCATTTAATTAAATGACTCCAGAAGTGATGATACTAATCATTTATATCAATATTATTAATGATGCAACTATTTTCATCATTTATATTAGTTGATATTAATATATATCATTTGCAATAAGTAAGATATATGTTTACATCATCTAAAATAAATGATATTAATATTTACATCAGTTAAAATAAATGATATTAATATTTACTATCAGTTTTAATAAATGATATTATATATTAAATTCAGATATATTAAAATTCGTTTTGATTTAAATTTTTGTGTTAACTTTTATAATATTATAAATTTCAAATAACTAATAATTTTATATTTATTATTCTAAGAAATGTATATAAATACATACATATGATTTAACATAAAAAAATTAAGTGTTGATGAATGTCTTTTATAGAGGATGAAACTAGTACTCTTCATCATTCTTAACAATGTGGGACAAATAGTTGTTTAGTAGAAATTTTATTTGCATCACTTTTATAACTGAAAGAAATATTAGCATCATTTATTATTGATGCTAATGCTAGTTGATCAAATGCTTCACTTATCTAATTGATGTAAATTTATATATTTGTGTTAGTTTTCAAAAGCGATATAAATTAATAATAATTTGTATCAGTTTTTTTTTAATTGATGTTAATCAAGTTAGTATTAGTATCAATTATTTTTAATTGATACTAGTCAAGTTAAGACTAATATCAATTAAAAAACTGATGTAGAAGTTTATATCTAGTGTCAATTTTTAATTAGTGATTCTAAATAAAATCAGTTATTTTAATGACATTTGATGTAATATTTTTTTTTTTGTAGTGGCTATGCTTTAACGGTAAAGTATCAAATATTGATTTTTCTGTTTTACAAGAAGACATATATAATCAAGAGAGATCAATAAGCCTATAGGATTGGTGATTTAGCAATATTTTTAACCGATAATTTTTTGGGGTCAGATCATTTTGAATGTGCGTCAATGAAATTTGAATGTAATGTTTTTATATAATTACAAAAAATATTTTTTTAGAAATTCAACTCACACTGATAAGGTCATACACTAGATGTTCGATCCTTAATTTCATAGACATAATTATCTATATAAAAAATAAAAATTTAAAATTAATTTATTTTCAAGTAATATTTAAATAAAAATTTAAGATTGATTTATTTCGAGTAACATTGGTATACTATTAAATACATATGTAGGTCATGCATGGTTCAATCTAGTATTTCCTGATTTTTTTAAAAAAATTTATGGTTGCCCCCAAAAATATAATACACCTAAAAAAGTTTTTCTAGATCGATATGTCCAAAGATATTGATCTTTCCTCTAAGGGTCTATCGTATTGTTTACTCCTTACACAATTCAAAATGTGTCCATATGGTTTCTTTTTAATTTCACATGCCTTGACATCACGAAATG